TATCTATACCCCCCCCCCCCCAACACGCACACACACTCGCGCACTGATATCCGCACACACACGTGTTGAAGGTATGAAAGCATCGAGCAGCAACAGGGGCATGCAGGGCACCGCGAGCAGCAGCAAGGGAACAGCAAACAGCACACACAAACCGAGCAAGGCCGGCCCATCTGTTCTTTCACTCATGGCGGTGAGTACTCATCGTCCATCGGGGGCGGCTGCACCATCCATGTGAATGGTTGTGCTTGTGTCTCCATGACGGCCTCCTCATCTGCCGACGGGCCGTCCATGGGGCGTGGGGGCATTGCAAGAGGCACCAGCTGCTGCATGGAGGCGGGCGGCAGAGGCACGGACAGACCGCCGAGATGACCTCTGACACAGAGGGAGACATGGGATGAGGTAATAGCTAACGCTGTCCGTCCGCTAGGTAGTACGTACCTCTTGATGAGGAAGTCCAGTTCGCTCTGCATCGCACGCCGACGGGCCATCTCTGACACCCACCAAACACAGACACATCCATCCCCTCGTCTGTCTCTAGCTGTGTGCCCAATCCACCCCACCCCACCCCACCCCACCTATCATGATGTCATTGGACTGGAATCTCGCCGAAGCTGACGCGAAGGAGTCCGGCGGGCTGGTGTCGGTGAACACGCCCTTGCTCCCGGGCAACAGCCGGCTCTGCTTCAGCGGGGGCAGCTTTCCCGGCGGCCGATGTGTCTCTCTCCCCATCCCATCTCCCCTGTTGATGTGTGTGGAGTATGCCGACCCAGTGGCCGCCAGCAGCGGGTGCAGCTCCACCAGATGCATTGGTGTGCGGGGCGGGGGCAGGTAGAGAGATGCCAGTGGGGGCGGCTCCTCCATCACCGATGCAGCCTGCAGGGGTGTGAGTAATCCTCTTCGCCCGCTGCTGCCGTCTTCTGCGCGTCGGGTGGTGAGCGGCTTGCTGACGTCATGGTGCAGGTGCTGGTGCACATACACGGGCTGCTGGGTGGACCTGCCTTCCAGCACGCTTGTGTAGCTCTCTGTCGCGTGCACCTGGTGGTCATTATCATAGCTGTAATCGTTTTCATCGCCGCCGAGCAGCCGAGGTGAGCGCAGCACATTCACTGCGTCGCCTCTCTTGATGGAGCCGACGAGAGGTGACTTGAGCAGCCGTGACTCGAGAGCATTGGGCGGCCCTCTCTTCGGCAGGCACAGCTGCCTCGGCGGTCTCGGCTTCTTTGGCTTCTTCGGCAGCTCCTCAACTGGCGGGGGGACGGGAATCGGCGGCGGCAGAGGGTGTGGGTGGGGCTGCCTCCGTCCGGTGTGGTAGACGTGGACGTGGTGCGACACCGTGTACTGGTCCAGCACACACAGCGTCTGTTGGTCCCCCTCCTCATCTCCTTTCTTGTCCCTGAGGTGGGCGGCTTTGGATGACTCCCCATGATGCTTGGGGCTCTTCTGTGGCCGCCCGCCGCTCTCTCGCGTTCGTTTCGGTGGCCGGGGGTGGCTGGGTGCCTTCTCCACGGGGGCCAGCCTTCCCTTCGGTCGCGCCTTTCCTCCAGTGACAGTCACGTCATCAGCTGCTGCTGCTGCTGCTGGTCTGTAGGCGGCATTGGACGGGACAGGGAAGACGTCCTTGACGGCCTCTCTGATGCGCCGGGCGGTCTCGAGCTCCTGCCGAGTCTTCTTGCCTTTCCATGCTGCCTGAATCTTCACTGCAGCATCGTCGGCCTGCCTCTGTCTCAGCTCGTCTGCGGCATGATCTTCCTCTTGAAGCGGCTCGCCTTTGTCAGTGTCCGCAGCCTCTGGAACGGCGGCTTCTTCTGGTGCCTTTTGTTCTGGCTGTTGATCCGCCTTGCGCCTCGTGTCGTCAAGTGTGTCCACCTCGGCCTCAAGAAACAGTGTGTCTGCCTGGTGGATCGGTCCTACCGCATAGTATGTGTCTCGCCCTTGTTCTGCCGTGTGCATGGCTGAGACGGTTGACAGGCTCTTGGTGAGGTCGCTGACATAGGCGCGTGCAGCCGCACCAGGAGCCACGCTGTCGCCAGCGGTCTTGTGCGCGGCTTCTTGTGGCTGTCTTGCAGACATGTCTCGCCGGCATTGTCTCCCCCTCCACACCTTCTGGATGGTCACGGCAGCTGAGGCCTCACGCCCATCGGCAGCCGGCCTCGCCGTCTCATCAGCAGCATCCACCTGTGGCGGGGCTGCCTCATGGACCTGGCTCTCCTCTGGAGGCTGGTCATCCACCAGGGCTTCTCTCAGCAGCTCTGTGGCCTCCTCTGCTTGTGGTGGTGCTGGTGCAGTGAGAGTGGCGTCAAGAGGTGGAGAGGTAGAGGAAAGGGGCCGGGGGGAGAGGACCTTGCGGACCTCGTAGCCCCTGAATGTTCGCTGAATGTCCTTGGCCGCCTGCTGCTGCCGCGGCTGCAGTTCCCTCAATGTCTGTTCGGGCGCTGTGGGGTCGATCAGCTCGGTAGTCAGCAGAGGCAGACTCTTCGCGAACATCTCTTTCTGCCCCCTCAGTCTGGCCACCCGCTGCCGGCCCTTGAAGCCCCTGTAGCTGCGCTGAATCGTGACGGCGCTTTCCTGCCGCCTTTGCTCCTCCAACCGAGGCAGGCTCACGCTGAGGCTGAGGTTGGACGGTCCTCTCAGCGGGGCCCAGTCGATGTCGATCTGCGGCTCGTCCCGCTCCTCGTCCTCAACACTCGAAACGACGTCGAGGCCGTCCTCCTCGCCACCATCATGTGAGCGGGGCCTTGGCTCGGCTCGCCGGGCCTTCTCGGTGACGCGTGAGCATGACGATGGCGTGTCTCGCGCCAGGCAGGTGCGCACCCGCTCCAACGTGGGGATGTCGACCGTGATGCCGAGAGAGCAGTAGAGACCTACACATAACAAAACAGAGGGAGGGGGGGAGGGAGGAATATGCAGTGGGTTGGTTAATCGAGCATGGTCTGCCTGTGTTCTGCTCTCTGACCGACCAGTGCCGTCATCTTTCTGCATGGCGCAGTATTCGATGACCGTGGGCAGCCGCAGCAAAGCCATGGCCTCAACGTCGTCACTCGGCAGCGGCCACACCCTCCCCACATTTCGCCTCGTGGCCTCAAAGCGCGGCCGGAACGAGAACAGCAGCCTCGCCCTTGCCTCCTCCTGTTGTCCTTGGTAAGCTTCCCTCGCCGTGTCTCGCGCCGCCACCGTGCGTGGCGATGCTCGCTGAAATCCCACATCCAGCGTGCTGACCACCATGGGCTGTGCGGACTCCCTGTCTCTTGACGAGGCCGGCACTGACGTGGGCGACTCCATAGTGGTCCTGACGACCGTCCGTCTGGCCCGCGACGGCGATGTAGGCGATCGCGGCTTGGCTTCGGCGACTCTCGGCCTCTCAGGCGATGTGCGCGGTGGCGAGACTGTCCGGTCGCTGTCGCGAGGGGAGGTGGAGCTGTCCCGACCCTGCCGCTCACGCACCCGTCGGTGCCGCTCCGCCCGCCGCAGGAGGTTTTCTTTGTCGCGGAGGTGTTTCTCGAGCTGCCGGATGATCTGTGACTGCAGGGGGAGGTCGAGGGGTGGCAGGGAGGGGGGCAGGTACTTGAGAATGCGCGGCGACCGAAGAGACTCTGTATGCATGACATGCATGAGGCGACAACACACATGACGGATGAACATCACCAGTCAGCCAGTGATGGTCGTGTATCGTCTGACTGACCAAGGACCAATCCCTCCTCGCTTGTTGGCTGCTGGCCCTGTTGGCTGGCTGGTGCATGCTGTACGCCATCGGGGGCAGCCGATGTCGCCGTGTGGCCCTTGCCGTCGGCTTCGTCATCATCTGGCAACATGGATGGCGGCGGGGCTCCTACGATAGGCTCGGTCACCTTAGTGCGATTGTTGGAGGAAGCCAATTTGCTGTCCAACGTCTGAGTATGACAGACACATAGGTGAAGGCTGGATGGATGTGGGTCGTCTGTAGGTCCATCCATACCAGCGCGACGTCAGGAGCCAGCTGTGGTGGTGTAGGGGGTGGCCTTTCCACCACACCCATAGAGGGGATCTGCAGCTGACGACTTGCAGGAACTGACAGACAGACACATACGAGAGAACGGAGGGAGGGAGGGACACAGGGCGATGGTCCGTGCCATACAGACAGGGCGGCTCCAGCAAGCTTAGCGTACCATCATGGTGTGTCGATGTGGTGCGCTGCATGCCCGGCACGACGAATCGGGTACCCGTGGCGGCGTGCTGGGCAGGCAAGGACGACTGATGGCAAAACGGACGGACAGAAGAAAACGCATCAACCAAAATGTCGATATATGCGTGTTCTGGACGGTTGGCTTACGAGTATGTCCTGCAGGTCCTCTTCAGGCGGCGCGGGGCATTCCTCACCGAACACCTTCTCGCGCGTCTTGAAGTTGTACCTGCAGCCAGCCAGCCATCCACTCACCAACCCACCCACCCACCCATATGTGTATGTATGTCATTCATCGGAGAGAAAGGGAGTGGCAGCCAAAGACTCCACTTACTCACTCCCTGCCTCACCCACCAGTAGGGTACGAGTCCCCCCTCATAGAATTTGAGCCATGGGGAGAGGGGGTATGAGTGCTGGATGCTCTGGTGCCACACCTTGAGCACCGTGTCGAGGTTCTTCGCAAACAACTTGGGCGTGTACAACGTCTGAATATGGGCAGACACACCGGCAAGGTCAAGGCATCGCAGGTGCCATGCCGCTGAGCTGAGCTGAGCTGAGCTGAGCTGAGCTGAGGTGAGCTGAGGGAGACACTACCCACCCCACCCACTCGCACACACCCTCCCGGCCCACCTTCTTGACTCCGTATTGTTTGTGGTTCTGCCGTGCGCCCTTCCGGTGGATCTGACGACTGCACAACACAACCAATAGTCACAATGTGTGCCTCCCGTGCCTCTCTCTTGTTGCTTTGTCTTTCTGATTGCCTGCCTGCAGGTCGGGCAGAGTGCGTCCCCGCAGTCCTCACAGATGTAGGCGGACTCCTTTTCGTCGCATTGGAAACAATGCATCTTCTGAACACACACAACACAAACCACAACTCACTCGTCCCCCCACAAGAAGATATATGTCCCCTCAATGAGATGAGTGAATGCTACTTACTGACCGATGCGAGTATGACGCCGTGCTGCTGCCTCTTGCCCTTCCTGTGGGTCTGCTCGAAACACGGCAGGCAAAACAGATCGGCGCAGTCTTCACACCTGCACACACACCACACCAGACCAGACCAATCCAATCAACAGTCCAGCGACAGACAGACACCTTCCTGGTCCAATTCACCCACTCACCGGACGACGGCAGCGTTTCCCTGGCACTCTGAGCAGACGAACTGCTCCATGAACACTGCAGGATGGTCTCGCCGACGGCCTGCAGACAGACAGACAGACAGACCCAGGCAGATAGCGACACAGAGACACACAGGGGGAGTCAGTCTGTGTGTCTGTGTGCCTACCTACCTTGTAAGTGTGTGGCGAAGAAGCAGAAGTTGCAGAGTGTATCGTGGCACACCGCACAGCTGAAGTCAGCCAGCGCAGACTCGCACTCCACACATATCAGCAGCCCTGTCGGCGATATCTAAAAGCCCCACAAACAAAACACCACACGCCCATCCATCCATCCATCCATCCATCCATCCATTGCCTCTCTCTGTCCACTTTGCGAGTGACGTGCATACATACTTTCTTGAGGAATCCGATTCGGTCGAGCTCTAGGTGGACGAACAGCTTCTGCGGGTCCACACAGTTGTAGAGTGTCACCGTCTCGGGATCGTCCCTTTTCCGAAAGTATGCCTGTTCAATGGCCGCCTTGACGCGCGGCAGCAGGTAGGGCTCATACAGCGGGCTCACATCCAGCAGCGGGAGCAGGCTCTCAATGGTGCGTGCCTGTGCAACCGCCCGAGCGCCGCCTCCCCCATAGGAAGTAGCCCGCTCGACGGCGTCGAATATGATCTCCTGCGCTCGGAACAGCCGGTTGGTCCGCCTGCGGTCCAGCTCGGCCTTCTCGATGGCAATGCGGTGGGCCAGCAGCCGGTATTCTTCCAGCGTAGGGAGCGTGCTGCAGTGCAATGAACGAACCGTGGTTTGGAGGAAAATGGGGAATGAGTGCACTCCACGTGTGGGTCGATTGGTTTGTTTGTTTGTCGATATCTCACCTTTGTACGACGCCTGTGTGGTCGTTGACGAATACGGCGTCCCTCTCCTGCAGCCGCAGGAGCCAGCCCTCGTTCTGCAGGGCCAGCAGACAGTCCCGGATGATCCACAGCAACTCGGTCTCCATGGAAGGGTCAATCGACAACAGCCTGCACACACACACATAGGGGAGGCAGCCAGGCCAGACAAACACAAACACACATTCACCGCGCCCCTAGCTGCCCTCTCCCGCCAGCATTTTGCATTGAACACACGGCACCCCCACCCATCAGACTGCCTGTGTGTGCCGTGGTGCTTCCCTCACTTGGACATGGCCTGGACCACTTCAATGGGGAACTGGGGCTCCTCCTTCTCGTCCAGCACCGGTGGCCGGTGATAGGATGAGTGCGGCCGCAGCGGCAGGGGGATGAGGTCAGGAACCTCAGGGTGCGAGTGGAACCGGGGACGGTGGCGCTCGTAATGCATGCCACCAGTGCCATCCTCTGCTTGCGGGCCTCCCTGCCGCCCTGTCAGCGGACCGTCGCTGCTCGTCATGCGAGGAAAATGAAGACTGCGAGCTTGGCCCCCATGTGGCCCCCGTCTTTCTCCCTTTTCTCCCCTCCCCTCTCTGGTTTATTGAACGCTGCTAGACAGACAAGATGGTGCAGCCGCTGTCACGTGCCGACAGGATGAGCTACCTTCACGCCTCACATCAGGTGGGCGGCCGTGCACAGACAGACGTGCAGACGGAGCAGTCAGGCTGAGTCTGCGGATGTTCTATGTATGTGCTATCAGTAAGTACAGTACATCATGCCTGTGTGTGTTTGGTGTGGTGATGTGCTCCAGCTCATCCTGCCCGCCTACCTCAAGGCGGTGGAAGAACAGGTACATCTGTGGCAGCACGTGTGGCAGCAGCAGCAGCAGCACAGGACATTTGATGTCATCCTGCGTGCGGGCGTTGGCGTTGCATGATGATGGATTTGCACTGACATGGCCACAGATGGAGGTGTTGGATCTTCAGCTGCCGCCGTTCCCATGGCGAGTCGGCTCACCTGCAATGGACCGGTTCCCCGAGTACTTCAGGGCAGATCCCGCCGGACTCGCACAGAGCAAAGTCCTCACAGAGTCCACACTCGCGGCAGCCACCATCATCCCGGCAGACAAGGCCGCCCTCCCGCCACTCTTTCCCCCGCCCCTGTTCCTCGAGGCGCTGCGGCTGGAAACGACAGAGACGCTCACAAGCCAGGTGTTCCGCTTCCACCCCTCCCTGCTGAGAGCGAGGGACGTGTTGGTCTACAGATACAAGGCCCTGCACCCCCACCTGAGGAACCTGTTGTCCAAGCAGCGAGCTGCGTTGCCTCGTGCGGCAGTGGAGGCCTTCTACAATGCGTGGAAGGAGTTTGAGCAGAAGTTTCTCGAGGAGAAGGAGACACATGCTGTGGTCAGTCTGTCGGGCGGCAGCAAGCTTGTCGAAGCTTGTACTTTGACTGACGTACTCTCTCTCTGTCGCGATTTTCAGGAGGCGCTCATGCCGTTGGCGGACTGTCTTCTGCAGCTGGAGCCGCTTCTCGTGTCCAAGAAGAAAGAAGGTGCACGCGACTGACTCCAATGGGCTGGCTTATGGGTGACAGACAGTGGATGTGATGTCGGTGTCTCTTCGCGTGCAGCCATTTTGCCATGGCCTCGGGTGCAGCACCAGCGCATCTCCACACTGAGATGTCAGCCACCATGGCAACACACACGGCACAGCTCAAAAGAGACAGACATGCTGTGATGTCTCAACCCTCCCATCCATCCATCAGGTCTGGAAGGCTTCTGCAAGACGGTGGAGGTGCTGGTGGTGTACATCCTCGGCACGTCCAAGGGGAAGCAGCCCACTGACCAGGACCCCAAACTCATCGTAAAGATGCACACACCACACCATAAGCAGGGATACCCACCTACTTTATCCTCGATCGTCAGGTCATGACAGAGGCGATTGTTCAGCATGCGAAGCGAGTAGAGACAGAGGGCGCTGGACCGCACGGCAGTCCCTCTGCGGATGCCACATCCTCGTCTGATGCAGCCTCGTACGCGGACATCATTAAGATGCCCGCAGACAGGCTCAAAATGCTCGCGGAAAACCCCAAAGTGGACACGACACGAGACACACACCAACCAGTGAGAATTGAGATACACACATGTTGGTTTGTTTGGTTCATTCAGTCGTTGGCGTTGGCTGAGGAGATGGTTCGTGTGTTCAATCTGCTGATCAACCACTTCCTCGCCTGCAGAGACCAGCTGGAGAAAATGAACCCAAACCTGGTCGGTCTGTCTGTCTACTACATCAATTACCCTCTCACTCACGTCATGTGGCCACACACTCCTCGTGTGCTGGTGTTGGTGTGGGGTGTTCAGGAGCAGAACGAGGATTTGGTTCGTGTGTTGCGGCGGTACCACGTCACGTTTGCCAAGTGCCAGAGGTCATTCCTCGAGCCATTCAACCTTGTCTGAGTCAGTGTGTGCACTCATTTTGACCATTCATTCGTTACACGTACGTACATACAAAATGTATGTCCTGTTGACGTCCCGTATGTATGCCTCACAAGCCGACCCTCACAGCACACAGACATACACGATCTATTGACTGACTGACAAATGCATGCTGCCCTGCCCCCACTCCGTCCGTCATCCACTGCGGCTCGCTTCGTCCAGCTCGGCAACTTCATCCTCAGTCAGCGACCAGGACGAACACACAATGACCTGCACGATGGATGCACACAACACAACAGATCGTCCCACCATCGCGGCACCGGCATCTCCTAGGTACCTCCTTGGCTTGTTGTACATTCTTGACCCCCGGAATGGGAGCAGCCCCTTTGCTGCGGCACCAGTTCAGCGCCACCTGGGTCGGCGTTACAATGCTCCCATCGTTTGCACCTCCCGCCCCCTCTCCCCGGCGCTCATCGGCTGTTGCGGTCTGGAAGGCCCCCACCAGCCAGTCGACGGGCGATGCCGCTGACGCTCCGCCGGCCGACGCTGACCTCTGCCGTTCCTCCACTACACGAGCGTTGATCTGAGGGGTCAGCCGTTGCAAGGCGGCCTGAATGCGGGATAGCCGTCCTCCGTCCTTGCCTCTGGGTGACGCATCCGCTGTACTGGCCTCAACGGCTCTGCAGACAGACAGGCAGGGCAGATGGGGAAAATTCCCAACCATGTCGGTGGCGGTGTTGCTGACCTGGTTGTGAGTTTGCCCTGCGCCAGAGGCGAGTGTGCGATGGGGGTGATGCCCCGCTCAAAGCAATACTCCAGCGAGCCATCGACAAGGTACCGCTGAACACGCACGACACACAACACACAACACACATTTCCGCAGACCACGACAGCCACATGCCATGCAGCGGGAGTGCACTCAGCACACACCACCCTCCCTCTCCTTGCCTGATCGATGAGCGACAGCGGGATCTGGTTGGACACGGTCGGCGTATTCCATTTGCTCAGCTCCCTCTCCATCTGCGGCAGCTCCTTGATGTCGAAATTAGACACACCAATGTGCTGACACTTGCCGTCCAGCCTGGCCTTCGCCAGCCCCTCGGCCAACGCAGGATAACCACCAATATAGGGGAATGGAAAATGCAGCTGGAAGAGCGCGATCGGCACTCCGTCGAGCCGAGCCAGCGAGTTGTCGATAGCTCGTGACACGGCCTCGCTGCCCCATCGAAAGCCGCCCCCGACACCGAGAGCGTTGGTCCTACGAAGACAATTGCGCCACACCCCACACACTGAGGCTGTCTCCCAGTCAAGAGAAAATGAGGGCATTCCGTGCCTTCGTCCCCTCAATACCAGAGAAGCGGGAAGAATTTGGTTGCCACACGCACAGATGGCCGTTTTTTGCCGAGTTTGCCTAGCAGCTGCTCCGACTGATAGCCGTTTGGGATGTTCTGGTAGCCGTAGACCTCTGCTGTGTCAAAGAAGGTGATGCCGGCATCCACCAACATCGATCCTGACATCTGCAGACGAGAGAGAAAGAAAGAAAGGAAACAAACACACATGCGGTCCTAGTGGATGCAGCGATCGATGGCATCTATCTGTACCTCAACATCATCAGGTCCAAATGGCCTCGACTCACTGGATGGCTCCGCGCTCACTGCACCCTCAGCGACAAACCCCCTCTTGGGATCACCCCTGCAGCACACACACACAACCAAGCAGTCACACAGGTCATGCTGCAGACACACACACACAGAGAGAGAGAGATGCATTCATCGTCTGTCCTTCTCACCATGCGAGCGTGCCGACACCGATAGGGCCGATGTCATACGTCGATGTGACGTCGGCCGCCACTTCGGGGACCGTCCTCACTGCAAAGATCCCATCGCGCCTCGGTCGTGGGAGGGCAGATAGAGGGCGGGCAGTGAATGCGGCTGCTCTCGCGTCTGTCAGCGTGCCACAGTCGACGTAGTGAGCTGCCTGACAGGCCAGAAGGAAGAGGCAACGCGGCAAAATACTCCTCATCATCCGACTCGGAATGCAGATTTCATCAAATTGTCATTCCATCGCACCACCGTCGAACGAACGTCGCTCCGACAGTCGCGAAGCGCGCAATAAGCGATCGCGTTCGCCTCCAGAAAAATCTTAGCTTGGCGTCTTCTTCAGGCTGCCAGCAAGACTCCAGCACTTGGGCTCCAGCAAGGACGGGCCTCAGCATCGGCGCGGACCCTGCCGCCATGACCATCCTCAGCCGCATCACCGTGCTGTGCAGCTCGGGGCACCGCCCAAGTACACGTGGCAGCAGCTCGACGGTGGCGGCATGGGCAGGGGATTTGTCACCGGCACGACCACGGTAAGGACACAATTCATGCATGCATGGGTGAAGATGGGATGGGTGCACGTGTGAGAGGCCTGGGTGACGGGCGCGATGAGATCGGTGCACACTCTGTCTGTACTGCACACTCGGTGTTCTCATTTCTTTGGACGTGTCGTTATGTGTTGGTGCAGAGTGGCACGTTTGGGTACGAGGGATGTGACAACCGCACCCTGACGACCACAACTGGGTATGCGGCACTATCGTCAGTGGCGCTACATGTGTAACGTGCATCTGTCTGTCAGGGATTCGTCGCCAACGTCGCCCACGAGCACATCGAACTCGGCGGCTTCGGCCAACAACGTAGGCACCCACACACAAACCCACGGAAACACCGACCCGAGATGCATGGAGGGATGGAGGGATGGATTCATTGGTGTTGGTTATATTGATTGCAATGCAGGCCAAACCCACCGTGAATGAGCTCATCTGCACCCACGACATGGCCCTCGTGAAGGACCAGGGCATCTACCGCTGCTTCACGTTCGCCGCCGACCTGTCGGCCAAGGGCACCAACCTCAGCGAGGGCACGCTGATACGGGGATATTATGCGTCCAAGGAGGACAGCACCATAGCAGGCATGGCACTGACCGGCCCGCATCAGGGGAAGTACGGCGTGTGGAGCGGCCACCACGGCGCCGTCAAGAGGGTGGCGCTGTACACCACCGTGACGGCCCAGGACAAGACGACGGCCAAGGGCACACTCACGGCCTACCTGGCTGTCGAGGCGGGTGTGTGTTCGGGGGCCGGGCCAACTGCCGGTGCTGTCAACCTCACGCCTGTGGATGTGGCGCCGGTGCCGCCGTCGGTGGCGCGCAAGTGGCGGCCCGCTCGCTCCACACACGTTCGGGGGGCGGGGCGGGGGAGGGGTGGGGCGCCGCGCCGTGGCCGTGTGCCGAGGCAGCCGCGTGATTGAGACCATCACGATGACGACCCGCAGCATCCACGAGGAGATCGCCATGCTGCGTGACAGCATTGGCGACGAGTTCCTGACGTGGTTTCTCAAGGGCATCATGGCGGGCACTCAGAGGGTGGGCTATTATGAGTAGGGAGGGGCACAGCGCACAAGACACAGCAGTGCCTGTCGGTCGGATGCTTGCATTTGTCGACTGCCTGTTGGTCTGCCTGTCCGTCCGGTTTATGATGTCCTCACTGATCTTCTGTCCATTCGTCTGGCTGCTGTCCAAATGAATGGCCTCTCTCCTTAGTTTTTCCTTTTGTCGTCGTTTGGCGTAGGGGGTGAGGAGGGAGGGTAATTAAAGCAAAGCCATCGAACTAGCCTCTAATTAAGTACAGGCGTACAGGCGTTTCCCCACACGAACAGGTAGAGATAGACGTGTGGTGAGACGAACGCCGCTTCTTCCCTTCGGCCAGCGAAAGATGCTGGCTGGTGTTTTGTAATTGAGTGCATTTGTCGTGTGTGTAGTCCGCTGCTCTTTTCTTTTCAATGTTGGTGTGGTTCATTGGCCGATGGTCGACTGGGTGGGGAGCGGTGTGCACTTGGTGTGTGTTTGCGTTGCGTTGGTGCATTGATGCAGGGATGACTCGTGAGTGTGTGGAGACCTTACGTATGAATGAATGCTACCTGCCAAACCAAGGTCAGGGGCGATGTCCTTACCCTGTTCCGCACAGAAAACGCCGACGCTCAATTTCGGAGATTTGATCATAATTTTCTTCCGGATTGTCTCGTGGAACCGAGGGCGGCAGGGGAGATGCCGCTGACCCTGTATGGGCCTTGACCGCCTCCGCCTCCGCTCGCTAACCTCTGCCTCCTCTCGACTTTTCTGCCAGAGCGCCGCAGCGGCCCGTCTGCTGCCCGCCGACCATCATCTGCCTTTGATTGCAGCCATGGGTGACCAGGAGATGCCCGTAGGCAAGCACACGGGCAAGAAGTTCTCGGAGATCCTCGTACAAGACCCGTCATTCTGCGACTTCGCCCTCTCTCTGCCGGGTCAGTTATTGTAGTCGACACCGACAGCACCATGACACTCGTGTCATGCCTCATGGCATTCGGCTGGCTCGTGCACCCGTCCGTGTGTTTGTGTCCATCCATCCATCGTGTGTGCTGTGCTTTCTGTTCTGTCTGTGTGATGTGATGCGTTCCCTCAGGACCGAAGGGTGCGCTGTTGGCGTTCAAGCAGTACGTGCAGAACGCTCGTGGCCTCTCACAGGACGCACCAGGAGCGGCGGCAACAGCCTCTCAGCCCAGCCCTCCCCCTCCCCCTCCCCCCTGCCCACCCGTCCCCCGGCCGCCACGGTTCTCCCCATCTGCTCAGAGACTCTCGCCACCCCACCACCAAAACCAGCAGCAAGGCAACCACCACTACAGCCCTCCAAATGATGACTTTCAGCGGTTTGCGTACAATGGCAGCGGTGCTGGTGCTGCTGCTGCTGGTAGTGGTGCGAGCACGGGGGTGGGTGGCGCTAGTGGTTCGGGTGCGGGAGTGGGAGTGGGTGTGGGTATGGGTGTGGGTATGGGGAATCGCACGCAGGCGTCGCAGGCGTCTCAGTGGAGTGCGCCTGCTGTCAAGGAGAAGATTGACCCCATAGCGTTGGAGCTCTACCAACATGACTATTTCAGGGTGAGGTGGGGTCGCTGGTGTGTCCGCACGCCGTGTGCGTGTGCCTGTGTTGACATTATATATCCTATCCGTGTTGTTTGTGTTGTTTGTGTTGTGTGTGTGCGTGCAGATAGCCCAGGTGCGTCAGAGTGGCCGTGCCGAGTCGTTCATCGACCGTTCCCTCTGGACCAGACTCAGAGTGGGTCATACCCTCCACCCACTCACAACCACGAGGACGACATCCCTCACTCATTCCCTCTGTCTGTCTGTCTGTCTGTCTGTCTGTTTGTCTGTCTGTGTGTGTTCAGAGTTTGGGCCCCGACAGCAGCACGCGTGACGCCGGTCCCGGGTTTCGTAGCGGGGGTGAGGTGATGCTGTTCCACTGCTCGAGGTACAACGACATCAAGGAGGCCATCCGGGAGGCCTTCGACACCAAGTTCGAGGACATACCGCGGTTCGTCATGTGGCAGAGCCAACAGCTACTCACCTTCGCACCCAAAGCTGCGGTATGTCATGTCAAACAGACAGACAGAGAGCCGGGGAATGGGCACATTGCTCGTGTGTGACGGCGTCAGTTTCCGAAGTTCGTAGCTCGCTGTCTGCTGCCGATTGACAACGAGAAGGAGCGGCAGCACTGCGAGAAGGTCGAGCAATTCCTCGCGGAGCTGGACACGCTCATCCCCAACATACGACCCTTCCAGGTGCACTGCAGGAGGGAGGGAGGCAATACACAACACAGCGCAGGACAGCAGCATGTGTGTCACCCACCGGTGTGTGGTGTCTGTCTGTGATGTGTGTGTGCAGCGTGATGGCATAGCGTTTGCGTTGAGGAAAGGCGGCCGTGCGCTCATCGGGGACGAAATGGTCCGTACTCACATCGCATCCATGGCCGGCTGCATGGCATGGCATGATGATACATACGCCGACTTATTTCTTCCTGTCGTGTGTGGTTCGTGTCTGTGTGTCTGTGTGTCTGTCTGTCTGTCGGATGTGATTGATGCCGTCTGACAGGGCTTGGGCAAGACCCTGCAGGCGTTGGCTGTCGCGGCGTTCTACTCCAATCAGTGGCCGCTGCTCGTCATCTGCCCGTCATCCATGTATGTCAGCAAACCACCCACCCCCTACCACACCCACCATTTCTGTCTGTCTGTCTGTCTTATGTGTATGTGGTTGGTGTTTGTTATTGTCCTTCCTGCCTGCCTGCCTGCCTGCCTGCAGTCGTTTCCAGTGGCGCGACCAGGCCTCCCAGTGGCTCAAACACTTAGTCAGAGAATGCGACGTACGTACGTCAGTCAATCAGCACCTCATTAAACACATATATTGCGGAAAAGAACACACTAGCTCAGCTCAGCTGCTTTGTGTGTGGCCCCCACCACTCCTCCCCCCCTCCCTCCCTGTCTGTCTGTCTGTCTGCGTGTGTGTCTGTCAGGTATGTTTGGTGAAGAATAGCAAGACGGTTGTGCCGGACGATGCCAAGATCGTCGTCATCTCGTACGACCTCATCTCGCGCGACAACAACGACCCCCTCAGGACCAGACCCAACGGCGAGAAATACAAGGTGTGTGCAGTGCAGTGCAGTGCAGCGAGGGGGACCCCGAGCCACACACGCCATCCATGCAGCATGACAGCTGACTGACCTGTGTGAACATCAGGTGGTGATAGCTGACGAGTGTCACTACCTGAAGGACCGCAACTCCAAGCGCAGCAGAGTGGTGCGCAGCGCACGGCAAACACTCATTCATACGAAGCCGTGCCGTGGATGGAATGCAATACATCGTTGCTCTCTCTCTCCCTTTCTCTGTATGTGTGTGGTGTGTGTCAGGTGGTGGAGATCTGCCAGAATGCCCGTCACGCGCTGCTGCTGTCGGGGACGCCGGCACTCAACAAACCTATAGAACTCTTCCCGCAGCTGTCCGCACTCGTAAGTCGGCAAGCCACATCACCCATCACACATCACACATCACATCACATGCCCCACCCACTCACCATGACATGAATGACCACATCCCATCTGTCCGTCCACACATCCATCTCATCTGTCTGTCTGTCTGTGTGTGTGTGTGTGTGTGTGTGCAGCTTCCGAATTTCTCGACCTACAACGAGTTTGGCGACCGGTACTGCATGAAGGAGCAGAACAGGTGGTCCCGCCGCATCGAGTACACCAGGTCCAAACACACCACAGAACTCAACCTCTTCCTCACTAACACGGTAGGTCAGCCAGCCAGCCAGACACACACACACCCGCACACAAAGTGACCACCAGAAGCGATGAGAATGGATGGACACGTGTGTGTGTGTGTGGTTGTGCAGGTGATGATTCGCCGCCTCAAGAAGGACGTGCAGAAGGAGCTGCCGGACAAACTCAGAACCAAAGTGCCCTGCGAGGTGTGGAGGACAATCTGCCAAAGAATCACAGATAAACAGACACGCAGGCATCCACCTGTGTCTGTGTGTGTCGTCAGATTGACGCCAAGTCGCTGCGGAACATCCAGATGGCCATGAGGGAGGCCAACATAGAGGACGAGCTGCGCGCCGCCGGAGACTTAGACGACCCTGAAATGTCCAACAAGGTCAGTGTGCAGGCCACCCAGCCACACCACACCACACCACACCATGGCCAGCAACCTCCCTCCTCTATGTGTGTGCAGATGGGCAATCCGGCGATGGCTGAGATGTATCGCATGACGGGCGAGGCCAAGATCAAGGCCGCGGAGGACTACATCGACATGCTGCTCGAGGGCGAGTGCGAGAAGCTCATTGTCTTCGGACACCACCACGCTGTCCTCGACGGCATAGAGAAGAAATGCATCAAAACTCTCAAAATGGTCTGCACACACCCACACACATGGCACGTACACACACGCACTGAGTGTGTGGCGTGTCGTGTGTAGGAGGGGTACATTCGTGTGGACGGGACGGTGTCGAGCAAGGCGCGAGAGGACCGCATCAAGAAGTTCAGGACAGACAGCAAGTGCAAGGTAGGTACCTCGTCAACACAACACATCCCTCTCCTCCCGCCCCTCAATCAACACACTCACCCCATCCATCCATCCATCCATGTGTGTGTGTGTTGGTGCAGGTGGCGCTGCTGTCGATGACGGCGTGTGGCACCGGCCTCAACTTGACTGAGGCGGGCACGGTGGTGTTTGCGGAGCTGTACTGGGTGCCGGGGACCATCCTGCAGGCCGAGGACAGGTCACACAGGATGGGCTCCGAACACACCACCATCTCCGTCTACTACCTCATCGCTGAGGTAGGTACCTACCTGCACATCACATGAATGTGGAGGGATAGGGACAGACAGGGCGGAAGAGAAAGATATGGATTGGATTGGATGTGATGTGTGTGTTTGGTCGCTGATGGATGGATCAATCAGCACACGATGGACGAGGCCATTTGGGAGGTGCTGCAGAAGAAGTGGCAAACCGTCACCTCAACACTCGATGGAAGGGTACGCGACAGACAGACCAGAAGGAAGGACACACCACACCACACCACACCCGCCTGTTGTGTTGATGAATCCAATCGATGCGCACACACAGGCCGAGACCATCGAGGCCCGTGTGGGTGAGACAGTCAAGGCCAGGCAACCGTCCCGCGGACCAGCTGCCGCTGCTGCTGGTGGTGGTGCTGCTGGTGGTGGTGATGGCGGTGACCAGATCATGCAAGACCCCTACGATGACGACGCGAATGACGCGGACATGGGGTTCTCGAGCAACTCGCAGCCGGCCAAGTCGCCCCCTGCCAAGAAGGCGGGTGGCAAGAGGTCGGAGCCGCCCAAGAACGTGCCCGACATCCGGTCGTTCTTCACCAAGAAGGCCAGGAACGAGTGACTGACTACTTACAGCCGTAGACACACCTTTGGGGGGCAGGAGGGACAAGTGGATGGATGGCATGCGTGTGTTGGTAGCAGCCAGCTGTTAGTAGAGAAAGGTATGATGCATTGCGTTGAAACGTGCAATGCGTCCGGGTGTGTGTGTGTGTGTGTGTGAATGGGTGTGCACGATACATAATGGTGTGGTGTGGTGTGGATGCACCTGGCTGGCAGTTTGGACAATGGCGACTCGCTGATTCAATGCCTGGCAACATCAGTTTCCAAGTGATAGCCATGACACACGTCTTGAGATCTGGCGTCGGGACGCCTTTTTGGCTGGAGCCGTCCTGTCGCCCTCCAGGAAGTTCTAGGGCAAGATCTCCCCCGCCCTAGAGAAAAGCTAAGCTCGCAGACTCGAGGAGCAAGTGGTACCCACACGTGACCTTTGTCTGTTGGTGCTTTCCTCTCTCTCGTGTGGCGATGAGTTGATTTCAAGGACGAATCGATGCAGCGGGCACGGTGGTATTACATCTACCCGCCTTTTAGGCGCTTCATCGTCGCTCACAGCATACCCAGGCCATCGACGGCGGCGTCGTCAGCATGCGGCTCTCCTGACATCGAGTCAACAGCCCGTCGGCCGTCTTGCCGCGGCTTCTCATCAACCACAGCAGCAGCAGCTTCACAATCACAGCCGGCACACCCCGAGTCGCTCATCGCGCAGACTCTCGAGGAGATGGCTGAAAACAAGGAGTATCAGGCAACGCTTGACGACCTCAAGAAGTTTGGTCAGAAGCGGCTGTCGCTCGAGGAGAAGAAGAAGCGGCGGCGGGCGCTGCACCACCTGGGGCTGCCGGGGTTCGATGACTTCCTCCGGCAGAGGAACATCCCTCTGCTCAAGCGCGACACCGTCACCACCCTGCAGGTACTTACCTGCACGCAAGAACGGACAGGACACATCACTATACTCTCTACTCTGCTGTGCCCATCAATTCCGTTTTCTCTTCGTGTGTGTCATGCCATTCAGGTGAACATCGGTCTGTACTGCAACCAGGCCTGCACTCACTGCCACGTGGAGGCGTCCCCCCTCCGCAAGGCCGACATGATGACGCCAGACATCGCGGCGCGGCTCATCGAGGTGCTCGACAACACCCCCACCGTCACCACACTCGACATCACCGGCGGCGCGCCGGAGATGAACCCCGTCTTTCGCACACTCGTCAAGGAGGGCCGCGCGCGCAACCTCGACGTCATCGACCGGTGCAACCTGACGGTGCTGCTCGAGCCCGGCCAGGAGGACCTCAGTGCCTTCCTGGCTGCCCACCAGGTGCACGTCATCGCCTCGCTGCCCTGCTACAGCCAGAAGAATGTCGATTCGCAGAGGGGGCGGAAGGTGTTCGAGCGGTCCATCCAGGCGCTGCAGGAGCTCAACGGCAAGGGGTACGGCCGGCCGGGGACGTCCCTGGTGCTGGACCTGGTGTACAACCCTGGAGGGGCGTTCTTGCCACCCGACCAGGCGACGCTCGAGGCCAGGTACCGAGAGGAGCTTGAGCGCGACTACGGGATCGTATTCAACCGCCTGTACTGCATGACCAACATGCCGATAAAGCGGTTCGCCGACTTCCTGTACAAGCAGGGGAAGCTGGGCGAGTACATGGAGCTGCTGGTCAACAACTTCAACCCCACCACGGTCGACACCGTCATGTGCAAGTCGCTCGTCAGCGTCAGATGGGACGGACGGTGAGTGAGCTGATGGGATGGGACCTGAGAAACCAACACGCACTTTGTGTGAATGTGTGTGTGTATGCAGCCTTCACGATTGTGACTTCAATCTGGCGCTAGACATGGACCTGCTCCCAGCAGACGGCGCCCCCTCCCAGAGTGACGAGGCGGACCGACCCCTCCCCCGGTCGGTGCTGTCATCTCCACCCCCCTCCTCCACCACACTGTGGGACATATCATCGCTCAATGACCTCGTCAACAGGTCAGCACGGGCGCCAAGGACACGGCAAGGCGGCAGATGGAGTGTGGATGTCTGTGTATTTCTGTGTGTGTGTGTCTTCAATCCAATCAGGCGTATAGCGAGTGACACGCACTGCTTCGGCTGCACGGCTGGTGCCGGGAGCTCTTGACAGGGGGAGACCGTGAAGAGCTAGACACACACGGTGCGGCCCTTCACGGTGGGGTGCTTGGGAATCTCGTGGATCCACACATGCCTAGAGAGGGGAGGGGAGAGGGGAGGTCTGCACCATCCATCATGACGTGGTGGCGTGGTCTGCGTGTGTGTCATTGTTTCGTGCCCGCGAGTGAGTCTGCCCCTCATCACCCCAGGCAGCTGGGATGGGGGCGGGTGATAGCAGGGAGGCGACGGACACACACTCACGCCACGGCCACGTACACAACCAGATGGATCCATCGCATCATTGCGGCGGACAGGAAGGCAGGGAATGGGCGAGCGGTTTTGCGAGGGGGTCATCACTGGTTCACTGGTGTGACAGACAGTCATTTTGGCATCTTGCATGGTCATCCGTGCGTTGACATCGCATTCGTCATGAAGATTCTGTATCTTACCTGGTTCACATCTCGGCCGGCCATATCAACCGCCACAGGCGAAGGGCGCCATGTCCGTTGGACAACCAACTGGTGCCACGGTGCCCTTCCAGAGTGGTGATGTTTGTGGCCGGCCGGGGAAACCGGGCTTTCACTGGATGGATGGATGGATGCTTGTTGCGTCAGCTTTTGAGTTTGTTGGGCTGGCTGGCTGTACACACGAATTGAATGAGTGCGTTCGTATCATACATACGGATCACGATATCACTGTACGCGTGTGTGTCGACGAATGGACTGTCCCAAAAGAGAGAGTGTGTCCTTGTGTGCGTGACGTTATCAGCCGTTCAAGACTGCAAGGCATCTCTTTTTCATTTTATTTTTCACGACTGCATGGTGCGGGTGAGGGTTTAAATTGTGTGTGTGAATCTATAAGTATGGCTCGAGAGGGGTCATCCGGGGAGACACTACTGCAATCTGTCTATCTGTCTGTCAGTACAAGGGGGGAGGGAGCTCACAGACAGCACGTGCGTGTCCTAGCGTGTCGCTTGTACACAGACCCCATCCATGCCGGGATGAAGAGACGAACTGACTATGAGGTAGTGTCCAAAGTGACGAATTTCCGTGAAATGTGTTGGATTCGAAACCTCTGTTCTACCTGTTCTGCCTCGCGCCGCGCCATGTGTGGGAAGTACTTCCCCCGGTAGGTCTGCCCTGCCAGTGGCAGCTGAAGATCTTTCCTGTTGGCTGTTGACAGCGACGCGCTCGACGACACCGATGCCCTCCCGGCATCAGCAACAGCTCCACCATGAAGACCTGTCACCGATCTGCTGGACTGCCTGACGCACCACCACCAACGCCAATGGCACCACCTTCAACCACCAATGACGGCCGCTTCGCTGTTTCCGACCACCCGCCGCCGCCTGTTGGCGACCAGGGCCCCAGCCCAAGCGCCTCTGCCTGTGTGCACGATGATGGTGATATGGATGCGGATGAGGAGGTCGGCAGACGGCTCCCTGGCAAGCACCTGGTGATGGATCTTGCGGCCGTGGTGTGAGGGAAGCGGCGCCAGATGAGGCTCTATCTCCCGGGCGTGGTCAAGATGCGCTTCTGTTGGGCCCTCCTGTGTAGGAGAGACAAGAAAAAGCAAACAAGGAGGGAGGGAGGGAGGGAGTGCATCATTGCCAACCAAATGGTTTGTTTGTTGTGTTTAGGTTCCTCTCTTCGAAACTTGCGGCATTTTCCGGCTGTGATGCGAGATCCAGGGCACTTGCACATGCCGACGATGACGCCCCGCTTGGTGCTCCTGCTGGCTGCATGTTTAGTGGCATGCACGTGCGTGTCGGGTCAGAAGGTGAGCGTGACGGAAGTGTCGGTGGACAGCGCTGTGGAGGACATCAAGTGGGGCGGTGCGGATCACAGCGTGGTGCTTCTCAAGACGATCAAGGGACGGCTGTACCGCAGCACCGACTCGGGCAAGCAATGGTACGACATTACCAACAGCCTCGTCCTGTCCGAGACAGAGCCTGGTGCGCCAGCCACGGCCATCACCGTCGACAGCATGCTAATCAACCCCGTCGACAAGAACATTGTGCTCGTCGTCGGCACCAAACACAGCCACTTCATCTCCAACGACGCGGGACGCACCTGGAGGAGACTCAAGCAGCGGGTGCCGATCCACTCGTGGCAGTTCCACCCCACCCAGCCGCACTGGGCGCTGCTGAGCGCGTGGAGTGACCAGTGCCACACGGCGAGCGAGCCGGCCAAGACGGCTGCCGGAGGTGCGGTGACGGACAAGGCGTGCAACCACATGCTGTATGTGACCAAGGATCTGGGTGTGTACTTCCACCTCGTGTCGAGCTACGTGGTTCAGTTCTCGTAGGGCGACGTCAAGCACAACCAGCAGAACTGGATCTACTTCACCCACCACCGCACCAAGGAGGGCGGTCAGCCCAAGTACGGCGGCTAGACGAAGAACGTCGACTTCGCCGTCACCGAGGACTTCGGCCGCTCCCACCGGGTCCTCATCCACCATACCAACAAGTTCCTCATCTCTAATGGGTACACCTTTGTGACCAAGTCGGAGGACGAGGCCAAGCAGACGGTCGCTCTGATGGTCTCAACCGACGGCGGCAAGACCTTCGAGAAGGCCAAGCTGCCCTTCGAGCTGTCCGAGAAGTCCTACACGGTCCTGGACACATCTGAGGGGGCCGTGATGCTGCACGTCAACCACGGCGACGAGGGCCGCTCGGGCAGCGGCGACGTGTACATCTCTGACCACAAGGGCCTCAGGTACTCCCTCTCTCTCCCCAGCAACGTCCGCACCACCACAGGCGAGACCGAATTCGACCGCGTTCTCTCACTCGAGGGCGTGTATCTGGCCAATTTCAAGGACGACCCAGAGGCCGAGGGCGCGCTGTTTACTGCGGCGGTCGAGAAGAAGACCGAGGACAAGGCGGCCGAGCATCAGGAGGAGGAGGTCAGCCAGACGGCGGTCTACTAGCGGCACAAACCCAAGCGGCGGTCGAACGCCGAGGATGTCGTCAAAACGGTCATCTCGTTCGAGAAGGGGGCCGTGTGGTCGTACCTGAGGGCGCCCAAAATCGATTCCATCGGCAAGAGGATCGAGTGCCCCCCCCCACAGATGCTGGCTGCACCTACATGGTGTGGCGAATTTCCACAACTACGCGCCCTTCTACTCGGTGGAGAACGCCGTGGGCATCATCATGGGCACGGGCAACGTGGGCCCCCACCTGCGATACGAGGCCGACGAAGTCAACACCTACCTCTCGCGCGACGGCGGGCTCTCGTGGGTGGAAGCCCACAAGGGCGCCTTCATCTACGAGTTCGGCGACCACGGGGGGCTGATCGTCATGGCCGACGACCTGCACAAGACCAACCAGGTGGTCTTCTCGTGGAACGAGGGCCAGTCCTGGTACGACTTCGAGCTGGGCACCTACCCTGTGGAGGTCGACAATGTGGTCATCGAGCCCAACTCGTCGAGCGTCGAGTTCCTCCTCTACGGCACCAGGGGGGACAACGGCGTGGTCTACCACCTGGACTTCAACGCGCTGGGGCAGCCTGCGTGTCAGGGGGTATATGCCGCCGACTCTGTGTCCTCCGACTATGAGACCTGGACGCCCTCTGACGGGCGGTCGACGGAAACGTGCATACTCGGTCAGTGAGTGAATGAGGCAGATAGACAACACACACAACAGAGGGCATGTTCTCTCTCTCTCTCTCTCTGTGCGTGTGTGCCTGAGTGCAGGTCGTCAGCTGACGTACACGCGCCGCAAGCAGACGTCCGAGTGCTTCAACGGCCGGGATTTCTCCCGCCCCCTGGCGCGCAAGAACTGTGTCTGCACCGAGGAGGACTACGAGTGCGAGTTTGGCTTCACGCGCAAGATCGGCTCACTCGAGTGCCAGCCGGAGGACCCCAAGCTCACCGCCCCTCACTGCACCTCCGGCAACTTCTTCTACATGGACGCCTACCGACGAGTGCCCGGGGACACGTGCGAGGGCGGCTGGGCGCCCCAGAAGGTGGCGGTGCCGTGCCCACACAACTCGCCCTTCAGCCGCGGGGCATACAGCGTCCTCTTGGTGCTCTTCCTCTTGTGTGTCCTGCTGGGCGGCATCACCTTCCTCTCCAAGACCGATCGGCTCAAGGGCCTCCCAGCGATCTCCTTCCTCAGCCAGGCGGGCTTCGACACCTTCGGGGGCGTCAAGTACGCTCGGCTGGGCAAGGGCAGCCACCGGGACGACGACCACCACGACATGGGCTTCATCGACAACGAACACGACGCATACGAGGAGGACGCCCCCAGCCTCATGACATACACCACAACCGAGTCGCGGCATCGGCTCAATGTCAACCACCACGCACACGACGAAGACGAGCACGAGACGACCACACACATGAATGCGAAGCGGGAGGGGGAGGGGCTGGCCGATGACGACACCAACCGGCAGCAGCAGCAGGAGTCGTTGATGGATCTGGAGGGCGGGGGCGGGGCGGGGGGTGCGACAGAGGGTGAGAGGCGGGTGGCCAAGAGGGCGGCGCTCGAGGCGGCCACCGAGGAGGTACCCAAGTTAGCTCCACCAGCCAATAGCAAAGGCGGCGCCACAGGCAGCGAACTCATATGACGATGTTGCCAACGAGATTTGTCAAGGGATGGGTGTGGTGTGGGTGTCGATATGGATGGATCGGTGGATGGATGGGTGGCTACGTACCTAGCTAGGCGTTTCAAACATCGTGATATCATCACGTCACGTCTATAGAGTGAGTGTACTTGTGTACGGCACGGCACGCCTGTGTGAGATGCGACAGATAGAGATGAGACAGACGGGAGAGATGGGACATCCAGGCAGGCAGGCAGGGAATGATCAGAATGATCCCTAGATGTCGAAGATTTGCGACGGCAAGAAACCTCTAGATGTCATGTGTGATGTGACGTCCTTTCTTTGATGTTTTGTGCGTACGCGTGAGTTGGCTGGAGGGCGGGTGGCCATTCCTCCCTCCCTCTGCCTGCCTGCAAACAACACTCATTGCATTTTTTCGGGGTCGTTCGGTCCATTCGCTGTGATGTGATTGATGTGCGTGTCCATAAATCTGCATAAGCAAGCTCTCTCTGCGACCGTCTCCTTTCGCCTTGGCGTGTGCGTGTGGCCGGCCATGTCATGATGTGACTTGTGTGTGCATGCCATGCCTGACTCCCTCGCTCATGCTCATGCACTACACTGATGATGATTTCATGGTGTGGTTCCCATCATCTCGTTCGACCTCACAGCATTACAAAAAGAACAAAGGAGCAGAGCAGAAAAGTCCTTATGTGCACACGCACACACAACCATCACTCAGAATCCACACGCACCAAAGCGCACACAACACCGATGACACCGAACCGAACTATCCACAAAACGACACACCACCACATACACCAAGAACTATGTCTCTACCCCCCTCCCCCGTTGTGTCCTGTCGCACTCATCATCAGTTAGTTAGTCCTTCTGGTCCCTCACAATGAACACGATGAAGAGCGCAATCATAAAGGCGAAGGCCGCGAGCAGCAGCACAATCGACACCTGCACACACACCTGCCCCCCTACCTCGTGGTCAGCCTCGCTGTCCGTCCAGTGAAACACCAGCCGACCCAACGCCGTGTAGAATGCACGCCATGGCGGCTTGTCCACAGCCGCGGTCGGGGTCGTCTGCTGCTGCGCCGCAGACTTCGTGGTGGCCCCCGGCTCATCCTCTTCACGTGGGGTGGCGGTGGGCTTCACTTTCTCGGCTGGTCTGCTCCCGTTTGACCGATCGTCGGTGCGCACCCTGATGACCACCTGGTGCTCCCTCTCGATGTGGCGGTGGTCAGCAATGGCAATGGGGTGGTCGTCGATATCCTGGTCTTGCTGCTCGAGCACGTCCACGTGTGTGCCATACATGGCCTGATCCGACAGCCCCGAGATCGGGCTCACGCCGTCCGACCGAGCAGCGGCAGCCCTTCCCCTGTCCGTCCACTGCGCGGCTTTGCGCCCGAGATGGTGGTGGTAGGACACGTAGTTGGGACTGCCTTGGGCGTCGTCGTGACGGCGGTGGTAGTGCGGCACGTGTGAGGGCGATGGTGAGTGCTGGCGGGACTGGGGTGTGGGGGAGTGGGAAGAGCCGGACAGGGGGTAGGCGCCGGAGACGGGGTAGGGCAGTTCTCGGGGGGACGGGTCGTAGAGGGCACTGATCACCTTGGCGGCGTTGTGGACGCCCGCACGCTCCATCAACCTGCACGCATCGCATACATGCATCGACGGCTTCTGTGTCTCGACGTGCACAGCGCCTTCCTCCGCACCTGAGTTTCATGGTCGACAGCCGCGGCTTCTCAAGGTCCCTCCTATCCCTATGCGGCTCATCCCTCTCCCGCACCGCAGGCAGCCTCTCCTTGCCCCTGCCGACGTGACTCAGGCCCTCCATCTGTCGGCCGATCGGACCTGTCGACGCTCTCGTGGTCGGCGTGGCCCGGCTGCTCACCTTGCTCACATAGCTCACGTGTGAGGGACCGCTGACGCGTTCGCCCATCATCTGCCTCCGCTCGCCATACACGACGGGCGCGGGGGAGGGGGAGGGGGAGGGGGGAGAGGGGGGTCGCTGGGGCGGGGGGCGGGGTCGTCTTGTGGCCGGGATTCTGTACGGCTGCGGCGACCGATCCTGCGCCGGCGACTCGACGTCCGAACGGTCGTAGTGACTCGAGTGTGGGGAGGGCGAGTTGAGGTCGTCTTGGTCATCCCCACCCATCACCCGGCGCATCTGTGTGCCGGTTGGTGGCGGCGCCTTGGGGCCCTTCTTTGCGGACTGCTGGCTGACACGACTGACGTGAGACGACTGGTAGGTCGACGCCAGCTGCTGCCCGCCACCAAAGGCCTCGAAGGACTCGTCCAGTGGCGGCCCCCGAGCAGGCGAGTGGCTGCGCCGCTCCTCCCTCACTTCCCGGCCCTCATGTCTACGAGGAGGATGGTACCGCCTCGAGTGCGAGGTGTATCGAGAGTCAGGAGGCGCCCGCACAGGGTCGCGTTCCTCAGAGTAGGCGTGGTCGCTGCCGTGCCACGGCCTGTCGTCCCTCGCCTCCCTCCTGCTTGGGTAATCCCTCGGTCGGCTGAAGTCCGAGTGATTCCGCCGGGGCACATGTGGCACGTGTGGCGCCTGTGCGTAAGGGGACACCGGCCGGGGCGGTGGCGACACGCTGGAGACTTGTGAGCGCTGGGCGGCCCGCTCCGCCAGCTGCACCTGCATCCGCCGGACCCGCTCCTTCAGCCTGCACGTTCACACACAGCACAGACGCGATGTGAACTTGCGAAGGTTTGTGTGCAGTAGCATTCTCCTTGTCGTGTTGAGTGTTACTCGAGGAGCTGCTCGGATGTGGACGGAGCGCCGCGATGGCCGCCGAGGCCTCGGGAGGCATGAGTACCGTCGAAGTGGGCGCACATGACGGACGAGGACCAAAAGAAAAAAGAGTCACCGAATCGATGGCCTGGGCATCTCACAGCTTTGGCGGACCGCCCAAGCCCTTCTACGGGGCGCAATTCCGACAAATGGCTTTCTAACGGTTTGTGTACGTGGGGGCGAGACTGTGGGCCAAGCTCGCAGTCTTCCGCTTGTGAAACCGCTTGCTTTTTGCTTCACCATGAGTGCAAGAGGCAGCCACGGCGGCGGTAAAGAGCAAGGGGACGAGCGCCGCCCGGCGCAAGAAGCGGGCGAGGCCACCATGAAGACAACAGACCACGATGAGCAACTGTCCGCCGCACAAAAGAGCAGCAAGATAGAGACCGAAAACTTCAGGGCGGCAGAAATCCGCTTCCTGCAGGAGCAAAACAAGCAGGTGAGGGCTGCTTTTAAAGGAAAAACCACGGGACAGAGAAGCCCCACGTGTGTGTGCGGTGTGTGTGTGTCAGGTGTTGTCCGCCTTGGAGCGGGCCGAGGAGGAGCGTGAGGATGCCCTTGTGACGGTCAAGGAGTGGGAGGGGCGGGCGCTGGAGATGCAGAGCGACATGGAGGCACTGCAGAAGAAAATGGAGGTAGGGAGAGACGTGCGTGTGGGTGCATATGGATGGATGGATGGATGTGTTGCTTGTGTTTGAAGGCGATTGAGCGCCAGTCGAATCAGAGCATCACAGATGTGGCGACCAAGGAGGAGCACATCAAAGTCCTCTCTGAGCAGGCATGCAGTGCAGCAGTGAAGAGACAGACAGACAGACCAGATGGGATCATGCCGCATCCCTTCTCTCCTTTGGTTGTGTCAGAATCGTCAGCTCCTGCAGCTGCTAGAGCAAGAGGAGGGCAGGCACCGAGAGAAGGCTGTCATGGCCGAAAAGCTCACGGTCGGTCTGTGGGCCAACCAGTGTTGGCTCACCAAACTGATCTCTTTTCATATCTTTCGCTTTCTGTTGTCTGTCAGATCGACAACGAGCGGATGACAGTGCAGCTGCAGGAGCTGCAGAAGCGACAGGAGTCAGGCGATGAGGCACTGGGCAAATGGTGAGGCACATGCACACATAGACAGCCCCACTTAGGCGTCTGTGTTGGGTGCAGGCAGGAGGAAGTGGATCGTCTGTCGACGGGCATGAGGACCGCTCAGGCAGAGGCGGACCACCTGCGGGCCGCACTCACAGCCCTCGAGGCACAAAGCAAAGTCGACCTGGAAGGTCGGGGTCAGGGAGTCAGGGAGTGAGTGGGCCACACGACACACACATCCATCTATCTTTGGTACTGTTGGTTGGCTGCAGCGATGGAGCAGGCCCTGTCAGTGGCCAAGAAGAAGAACGTGCAGTACCTGCAGCAGGTCCAGTCACACGAGGTGGCACAACGACGACTCCAAACAGACCTAAACCGACTGCTCGTAAGCCAACATTCCTCCCAACGGCACACCCTCTACACACAACACGATGCAACTGCAGGAGGAGAAGCTGCGGATCGAGCGTGAGAAGAAGGAGCTCTTCGACCAGCTGCAGGCGGCCACTGCCGGCAGAGAGCAGGATGGCAGGCGCGCCACCAGCCGAGGGGGCAAGAGCGGCGAGGGCGATGGCGGCGCCCGTCTTCAGCAGCAGGTGGACATGCTCAAGAAGGCACTGCACAACGTTGAGAGGGCCAACGAGAAGCTGCAGGAGGAAAACAAATCGGCGGCAGAGAAACACCGCGAAATGACCGATAAGGTGAGATGAGAGGCATCCACATCCTCGTGTGTGTGTGCATGTCTCGTCATTGGCCTTGGTGTGTGCAGGTGTATTCGTTGATGGACAGCCTGCGGCTGAATCAGCTGGAGCACAAGAAAGTGGAAGCCGACAACAACAACAAGACCAAAAAGGTCCTTTAAGCTCGCCGTGTATGCATCAATGACATAATGTCTCTCTCTCCCGCTGCCTCCCTCCCTCCCAGGTGCTGTCAGTCGAGAAGCAGCTGCAGGGCGTGCAAAGCCGACTCAACGCCGAAATCGATGCGAAACAAGTCAGCAGGGCAGCCATCGATAGGCCACACCTGTGTCTCTGTGTCTGTCCTTTCTGTCAGGCTGCCGAGCAGTCAGCCCGAGAAGCCATCCAGGAGAAGAACCTCACGGACAAGCGGATGAAGCAGATCGAAGAGGTACCACCTGACGTCTCACGTGTAGATGTTCGTGTGCATATGTCGCTCTTCTTGCCGGGCAGGAGAGTGCAGCGTGCCGTAAGGAGCTGCAGGGTGTCGAGCAGAAGCTGCAAGAGCTGATCGAGCGCAACAGGGCGCTCGACTCACAGGTAGGTGTGCGGTGGGTGAATGGGGCAGACATCGGTGTGACCCACGGTCGGTTCGTGCAGGTCCATTATTTGTCGGCTCGTGTCGAGGGTCAGGAAGAGGACAAAGCGCAGCTCAGAGTCGAGAGCCGAAAGTACACACACACACGCACACCCAGGACAGCAGTTTACTGGCATGTCTTGGCTGGTTTAGACTGGAGGCCTCGATGAAGGAGATGGGGAAGGAGCGCACGTCATACCAGGACCGGATCGGTGTCCTGGAAGAGAGGCTGCACCAGACCGCTGTCGAGAAGGTGAGCTCCAGACGCAGCGACTCGCTCGACAGAGACACAGATGCATGGGTGCATTTGTTCTGTGTCTGTGTGTCAGGACCAGCTTCGCTCTGAGCTGGACTACATCAAGCGGGAGGACTTCCTCGACGAAACAGGTCCGTCGACGGGATTTCTGAGCGCCTCTGTCGATTCATGTGTGTGTGTGTGTGTGTGTTTGTCTGTCTGTCTGTCTGCAGGTCGCACGCGGCCTCTGTTGATTCACAGCACGGAGTCCACACTCGTCGACAGACTCAAGCTCAACGAATTCCTCTACAGAGTGGGCAGGGCAGGCACGTCACACACACAAGGTGCAGTGCAGTGGATGCCGTGTCTCTCACAGGCCCAGCAAGGTCCCAATCCAGTGCCCGTGTTGGTCGAGAAGATCGCCCAGCTGCTGGAGATGCTCCACGTCGCACAGACACAGGCCGACCAGTATCTGACGGACCTGGCCCGCGCCAACCAGACGGCGGCTGCGATGCGTCAGAAGAACCTGGTGCTGTATGAGAAGTACCAGTGGCTGGAGGACTTCCGCACCAAGGTGGTCTCGCAGGTCATCGCCAACATACTCGACTCGACCGACGGATCGCACGTCAACCTCGCCGGGCTGCAGCTCGATGAAAAGATGCTCGGTGAGGCGACCGATCGGCGTGTGTGGATTATGGGGCGTTGTGTGGATCTGTGTGTGTGTGTGTGTGGTCGTGACAGAGACGTTGCTTGAGTTGTCTGACCGAGAGAGGGTGAGCGAGGTTGCCGACCGGCTGCAGAAGCTGAACCTCTCACGGAACGGACTCCTGGACCAACACATACCCCCCATCATCCAGGTAGGTGGACACCCGCTAATGCAATGCACCTATGCCACACCCTTTTCCCTCCACGGCTTTGTCGCGGTGCAGCTGTTGATGCGTTTCCCGTACCTCCGCCGGCTGGACCTTAGCGGCAACTGCCTGTCGTACGAGGGCATCAAGCGCCTCGAGGATGCTGTGGGGGCCATCAGCGGAATCACCCTCACACAACGAATCGCCAACCCCCTGGTGCGGACAGACGAATCGGCAAGACACAGAAGGACGCAATGAGACGCTCGTGTGCATGCGCGTATGATCGTGCAGCGCATCGAGGCTCACAGCGGCCACCAGTTGCGGCTGTGTATCCTCACCGAAGGGCAGGAGGCGCCCCCTCCCCAATCGCAAATCCCTCTCGACGACGTGGTCAGCCCCCACTACTGACCTCTCCTTCACTCACATGTGCAGCACCCATCCGTGTCTCTGTTTGCCCTCGCTAGACATCCCCTGACGGTGTGCCCATGGCCTCTCCTGCCGTCGAGGACAAGGATATGGGCCCTGAGCTCAGCAGCTCCTCCATCATGTTGCCCAGCACAGACGACCCCACCACTGGCAAACCTCGCCCGCCCCACCACACCACCGTCAAGCTCGCTCGCAGCCAGACACGGCGAATTACACAGGCAGGAGCCGACAAGGCGCCCTTTCAGCGCTCATCGACGTACCACCACCAGGCCGGCGCCGCACCCCAGGCGGCAGCACCAGCGAGAGGCTCTGCGGTGTCTCTGCCAAAAGTGACGTCTCTCAAGCCACATGGCCCGCTGAGACACGGGAAATCTATCGATATGGGCAAGCAGAGGAGTGGAGACGACGTTGGCCCCACCACCAAGGGCGACAAAGGTGACCATGCGTTGCCGAAGCTGATGAGCGCCTCCGGTGGTGGTGGTGGTGGTGGTGGTGGCGGCACGCTGATGCAGTCGAGCGGGTGGGGTGGGGGACCCCCGCCGCCTTCGAGGAGTAAGGTGAACCGGCCCGTGCCACTCGCACAGGCGGTCAAGGGTAGGTCATTCGACATGTCTGCGGGGCCTGCCCCGTCCACACCCGGTAAGAGAGTCACTTGAAGAAGACAAGATTGAGCCATGGATGTGATGTCTCCCTACCTGTCTGCTTGCGCTCGCATCCATCGCTCTCATGCAGATGTTGGCAGTGTGGCACGAACGAAGTCGTTTGCTCACCCGAAGGACGAGACGGCGTCCTCTCATTCTCAGGTGGGGAGAAAGAGCCCCTACATCACGTCGCAGATGTCATCCATCGGTGCGGCGGCCAAGAAGTCCTCATCGCACAAGAAGCGGGAGGCAGCCAAGCCGCCGACTCCCCCGCCCTCCCACGCTCCCCCGCCGAGGCCACACCCATAGACACACCCACAGCCACACCCACCGTCGCCCGGAGCGCTGGAGGAGGATCTCATGTCTCCCTCTTCGTCTATGCCCCAGCTGCCCTCCAAGACTGTCATGATCCCCATCGACAGCCCAACTTAGTGCGTGAGGGTTGCTATCTGTCTATCTATCGCATATCTGTTGCTGGCTTCTTGCTGCTGCTCTTGCCGCTGCTGGCGTTTTGTGAAGGGGTGTCTGTGGTCCGTGAGTGAGTGGGTGAGTACACGAGAGCGTCACCGTTTTGTGCGTCAGACAATGTCGCTGTGCACGCAATGATATAACGAACGTCTTGAAGAGATCAACACATGACGAACACAGTCACGACTTCCACCGACTTGGCACACCCACCGTCCAACACAACACCATCAAATCGTCTTGGTTCTGTAGACCGGCCTACGTGTGATGTGCGCCCGTATGGGACGCGACCAGTCGCACCAAAACACTAAGCCCGCCAGGGGAATGAACAATGCGCCGATAGTTTCGAAGGCCAGGTCGTATCGGAAGTGCGCTATTTGGATGAGCGATGCCGCAATGGCCGGGCCAAACAATAGCCCCAAATTGAAGAACTGACCCATCTGCACACAGCACACACACACACACACAGAGAGAGAGAGAGAGAGAGACATACACACTGTCTGCGTCAGATGTGTTATGATTGGCTCACAATAGCGAAGGCCTTTCCCTCTCCGCGGACCACCACTTGTTCGTCCATCCACTGACCTGAACGAGCACACCACACGGACGTGACACATCCCCCTCTGCCCCTCCCTGTCTCTCTGTTGGTTCCCTGCCTGCGGCAGCTGTCGTGATTGTGTCGAGTGCGCCGAAGGGGACGCCGTAGATGGAGAGGGCGGCCACCTGGGAGGCCGGCAGGGCAGCCGCCCCGAGTGTGCTGCCCAGCCACACTAAAGTGCCCGCACACCACAGCACCATCATGCCTATCAGCAGCAGCGGGCGGACGCCACAACGATCGACCAAATATCCCGCAGAAGGCCCCGAGACCGCCTTGAGGACTAGCATCGGGACAAACAGCTCGCCCATCCTGCTGGCAGAGAGCTGGTATTTCTTGCTCCACAGCAAAGGCAGCAGGGCGGTGCATGCGGACGCGCCCATCCAGCCAGAGGCGAGACTGAGTAAGATGGTGAGGAACGAGGGGTAGGTCAGGAGGTAGTAGCCTTCTCCAGCTTGGCTGGCGTCGCCGTCGGGGGGTGATTCTTCCTGCTGATCAACGCTAGCCGGCAAAGGCAGATCGACACTCTGCCTGCGTGGCAGACACACACAGATGGTTTAAAATCAGGACAGGACATGCCCACTCACGAGAAGCATGCCCACCCTCTCGGCCTTCCGGCCTCGTCTCTGGCCGGTCGTGGTGTGGGGGGCGGGAGGCCGCAATACCCCAACACCGCCACGACCAGCACGGAGATGACAGATGCGATCAGACATACGGACCACGCCAATTTCGACCCGCCGTAGTCATAAAGGACGCCCCCTATTGCCGGCCCAGCGAGACCACCAGCCTCTGCACAGAACAGAAAGGAGGAAGAGGCAAAGCAGGAAGATTGCTGTGTGTGTCGTGGCTGTGTGTACCTAACCTACCCCCTAGAAATGCGAGGCCGACAGCTCGTGCTCTGGTGAAGTCGTCGTGTGTTTTCACCAGCCCTCCGACGCTCGCTGGAAAGAACAAAGACGATGCGAAGCCCTGAAGGAATGGATGAATGACACAAATAAATGGCCACAAAGATCTCACGATTCCTGATGAATGGCGGCCGCCGCCGCCGCCATGTTGCACATTTGGATACCTCGACCAGTCTGGATGAGAGGTAGAGGGAAGCGAATCCTGCATGGACGGGGCGAATCAAGGCAAGGCACCCCAACCAACCAACCAGCCATTGCAAATGGACCAGACAGGCTATTCCGCCCCTGTCTGTGTGTGTCCCTCCACCCAATGGCATGTGATGTGTGCTGACTTGGATGATTACGAGGGTGCAGGAGACCACATAGCAGCCGCTAGCAATCACCATCCCAAACCACCAAGACGTTTTGTCCACCAGTATCCCGGCCACAGGGCACAGGACAAGTGCCACGATGGGCCTCGCCACCAGGACCGAAGAGTGCGTGACGGGGCTGAGGTGCGCAAGGGTCTTGGGCAGCAATATCACCATGACGGACTGCAAGAGAATGTCCACCAGGCATAGCAGTGCCACAGAGAAGACCAATCCCAGATGCAGCACCGCCATCGCCTGTCGCCTGCGAGAGCAGAAAATCACAAACCGATTCATCAAATATCATTGCAAATGGGTGCAGTATGTGTCGTCGCATATGGTGCACTAGATCTCAAGGTCTTTACCTTTCCTCCCCGTCGTGCGATCTTTCGTCGCACAGCTCGCAGGTGCAGATCTGCACCTGTACCTCAAAGCCGGGCGGGGCTTTCTTGCCAGGCACTCGTCGTGTGCTTCCCTCAGGTACGTCAGTGGCTCGCGCAATTCGCTGAAAGAAAGGCAGTCAGGATGTGATGTACAGAAAACACCGTGCGCCGCTGTGTATGTGCCTTGGTTTGTGCCGCATAAAGGAACCCCAGAAGCTGCAAGAACGACGACCTCCCGTCCTAGACCCGTAGCTAGATCTTTGGTCACCTTGTGATCTGTTTGGGGTTCGGCGCGTGTAGTGGCTTTATCGGCTGGTGCCCTTGGACGCAGAGGCTTGGCTTCCCGGAGGTAGCTGGCGCATGGTATTGTAGCATTGGATGGTAAGCCACAGAGTCTGACGCATATCGGAATCACTCTAGCTTCGTCATTGTCCTTTTCGTTGCTGGCTTTGCTTGCAGGGTCTTCGTCCCGGGCTGATAACTGCGGTGGCTCTGATGTGCCTTATGGATGTGTTTTCCTACAGCATCATGGTGGTCATCCTGCCCAAGACGCTGCCCACACTCAGCCCCATCACACACTCGTCCTGCCTCACCATCCGGCAGCTGGTGGCGCTTCTGGCTTGCCCCCTAGGGGGCATCCTGGTGGACAATACGAGCTTCTGGTTTGGGATGGTCGTCAGCTCGCTGTGCTATGTCGTGGCATGCTCACTGCTGCTTGTCGAGGTCGGTGGGTGGGGGAAGACCTCTGTGTTTGTGTTTGTGCTCGTGTGTGGATATATGTGTGTGTGGTGCGTTGCTGGTGTGTGTGCAGGACTCCCTTAATATCTACTTCGCGTCAAGAGTCATACAGGTAGGTAGATCGATGGATGGGCTGGGGGGGCTAGTGCGGGCTGGTGGGAACACATGGCACACGTGATCGTTCCCCGTGGTTACTCCTCTGCTTGTTCCCCCTCTCTCAGGGGTTTGCGTCGTCTTTGTTCTACCCCGCTGCTCTCAACGGCATCGTCAGCACCCATGACGACTCGTCCAGAGGCAGAGCTATCGGACTCGCATTCCTGGGAGGTACTCCACACCCAGCCACACACACACACACACACAGAGAGAGAGAGAGAGAGAGAGACAGACGGTTGGTACTCATTGTCTGTGTGTGTCTATGCGGTGCGTGTGTGCAGAGGTTGGGGGCCTTGCCGGACTAGCAGTGGGGGGCTTTCTCTACGACTATGGCGGCTCCAAGCTGGCCTGGTTCTTCAACCTCATCATATCCCTCTACGCCTTTCTCGTAGTCGTCGGCCTGGGGTGGCTGGGCCTGCCGGGCCCCAACCCATCTCACTTTATCGTTCAACGCACGGCGGGCGCCGCTTCTGCGGCTGCGCAGGGCAGCCTGGGTCGGCCGCTGACGTCCAGTGAAGAACCGTCGACCGACGCGCACGGTGGGGCGGCCCCTTATAAGGTGGGGGGGTTATTGCTGCTGGGGCATCCTGTGTTCTTCACCATCCTTCTCAGTCTCGCCTTTGCGTGGATGGGCGGATCGGCCATTTGTGTGAGTGGGCGGAGGGAGGGGAGAGAGAGAGAGAGATGAATGCACCCTTCCCTTGTTGCGTTGGTTTTCCAGGCGTTGCTGCCCTTGCTGTGGAGCGATACTTACCACATGTCCGCCAGCCGTATTGGGGGGCTCTTCTTGCCGCTGCTGATACTGAAAGCGATTTCAGGGCCGCTGGCAGGGCTGCTGATCGACCGCTGTGGGGTTCGCCCGCTGCTGTTGATAGGCGTGATGGTGCTGTGGTGTGCGGGCACTTTAGTGTGGCTGGGCAGCACACTCGGGGCGGCCGCCCTCTCCGTCTATGGCGTCCCCTTCGGCGCACTCGACACAATCACGACAGCTGCCGCAGGCAGGGAACCAACGGAGAGAGGGG